ATTGAAAGAGGCGTGTTTTCATATTTTCTTTCTCTTACGTCTTGCCACAGCAATTACAAAATATTTTATTCTCTACCAATAATTTGAGAGCAAAGAATAGGTGCTGTCTCTTATACACATCTAGATGTGTATAAGAGACAAGGACGGCGAAGGCTGTGCTCGTCGAGAACGAGAGCAAGTACAGGAACTCTAAGAAGGTCAGGTTCACCAACGAATTCGTTCCCCCATCTAGCTCCAAGGGCGATAAGAAGCCGCTGGCCGTCGATCGCAGCCAGGAGGCGGCCATAATGAAGGAGGAGCTGGATTCTGGGTGCACTCGGTCCGAACGCACGGAGAAGGTTGTCGATCCCAACACCGGAGCTACCCGCCACATGCTGAGGGTGGGCGTCAACGTGTGCGACAGTGCAACCTTCCTGGCAATGAACGAAAAGGAGGTGTGTTATTCCATAGACACGAGATTCACCACTTTTCAAGTTCCTCCGATCCAGGAAGTCGTCGCGTCGAAGCGGGTTGGCAATTTGGAATCGAATTTTGATTTCTACCAAATCAGAACGCAGTACGGCACGCTCAAACACCTGGTAATGGAAACGTCCCGCTTGCTCGAGTTGAAGATGTACCCGCGACGTTTCGAAAAGGACCCGTGGTACTGCGATAGAATGCTCATGCTGACCTGGGACAGGCTAGGTTCTGTTTTGGAGCAGTTGAATTTGAAGTTCGGACGGAGGACCTTCTCGAGACTCAGGGATCGCGCGTTCGAACTCACGCATCTGCTCAGTCTGATCTTCGGCGTCGTGACCGTGTACGGATGCCCGCCCCAGTCGATCTACGACGAGAATCCCCAGTTGCCAGACGATAATCCGTGCTGCTACGCATCCCGCTTGATAGCCGCTCACAAGAGATGGATCGACAAACAGTATCGTCACAACCGGCAGTTCCTGCACGACCAGGTGGTCGCCGAAGCGGAGCCGGACCCGGCGGATCTGCTGTTCGCGTTCTCGCTGAATCATCCGTTTCCGCAGGACGAACAGACCATTTTGAAGACCGTCGTGGACCAGCTCGTGGATCCCGATCGCACGGAATTCTTGGAAGGGGAGAAGTACCTGACCATCGACAGCAGAACTGAGGACTCGCTCTTGTCCACGTTGGAGCGGCAGACGGGAATACCCCGCAAACGTTGCGAAAACATTCTCATTGAGATGCAGAGCGGCGCCAAGACGTCGTTCAGACGATTTGACGACTGCGGCCGCAAGCAGCAGCTCCTGCTGTGCAGCGTCGGGACGGAAACGTATATGGCATTGCACGACGACAGGTACCGATCGATCTCGGACAAGATGATTGTGCATATGGTTGATCTCGGAAAAACCGACTACGTTGACGCACATTTTCTGCGTGTCAGATTGGACGAAACTCACGTAAAAGCGATAAAGATTCTCTCTCTTCTTCGTGCTCATCCCAGGCACGCGTACTGGAACGGAAGAGATGACCCGCGGGCGGACGTTCGATACGTGAGAGAAGAAGGAATGAAGAACGGCACCAAGTACGTCGTTGACATCAATCTCGATTTTTACGAGACGAGGTTGAGGTTCCTCAGAAAACGTACGCTCAGAGCTTGCGAGAACGGCAGGTGCCAGGATAACGGAACGGTCAAAGTCGGTTTCCCTTCGAAGGAGGCTGCTAACGCGGTGAGAGTTCTGACGTGCAGATTGTGGGACGGTTCCAGAGAGGGCATGCTCTTTCCAATTTCTTCGATGAAGGATGGCGACACGTGCGACCTGGTGCTCCCGACGTCGGTCGAACGCGTGTTCATGGTTCATCTCAGCGCCTTGCTCCCGCGGTGGAGACACCTGGAGATATCGGAGTTATGCATTAAGGCGTTGAATGAGGACGACGACGCTTGCAAAAACAATCGCATACGAGTTCAAGCTTCCAACGATTTGGAAGAGGCATTTCTGACCGAAGCCTGTACCTTCAAGACCAATGACTTCGGCCACCTCGTCGGATGCTCGTCGATCCTTTCGTCGGACGACAGTTTTTTCGATGTGAACTTGTTGGTTTTGAATTCGCTGGAAAAAGCGTGCCAGCATTTCAAAGTAAGGTTTGACGAATCTTTAATGAAAAAAGTTATAGAAAAGACCATTTTTAAGAACATGACCGATCGCGAGAGCATCGTGTACTTTGATCGAAAGGCCGACGAAAACTTTCCAAAGATAAACATTCGTCAGTTCGCAGAGATGAACGGAGGCCGTCTACCCGAACACTCATGCAAGAACCCGTACAGGAAAAGAAATTGCAAAGATGGTTTTGAAGACCCCGAGGTAAGCAGTGCAGCAAACAAGGGTAATTTGAGGTTCGTCGAAGAAGAGCCGAAGTTGTTGAAGCCGGAACCATCTCGCGTGGAACGGAGAAAAGCTTGGAAGCGCATGCTTTCCGATGGATCGGAGCTCAGACTTCGACGAGAGTTTGGGAACGACGTGCCTCGGTACCGGCGAAAAGTCAGCCAGAGGGAAAACGAGGTGATCGCCCAGTATCGGGAACGAGGCTTCAAACCAGTGCCGAGAAAAGGAACCCAGATTTTTCCCTGCGTCTGCGACAGTTACGGTGTTTAGAAATTAACGTTACTGAATATTGCAAATAAAACTTGATTGAAAAAGTAACAATTTGTCTGTTTCTATTCATTTGTGTTAGATTGAAAGAGTTGTGTTTTCATATTTTCTTTCTCTTACGTCTTGCCACAGCAATTACAAAATATTTTATTCTCTACCAATAATTTGAGAGCAAAGAATAGGTGAATGAAATATATATATATATATATATATATATATATATATATATATATATATATACGTCAGAGATTTGTAAAAATATTTAAAAAATTATTTAGTCATGTCAGATCCATCGATAACATACGGCGAATTGGACTCCGAAGAACGGCCAGACAGATTTTGCGACGTGGTACTGAGACCTTGGCAACAAGGACTGACGGACGAGCTGGCGAAGCAGCCTGACCCGCGCGCAGTCTTCTGGTATCACGAACTGAGAGGGAACGTCGGGAAGAGCTTCATGGCGTCCTACCTAGCGCGGTCGTCGGACGCGATCGTGTTTGACGGCTGCAAGAAGAGGGCCGACGCCGCGTACGCGTACGACGGACAGCGCATCGTCGTCTTCGACCTCCACCGCTCCCAGAAGAAACGCGTAAATTACGAACTGATCGAGGGGTTCAAGAACGGACGCCTCTTCAGTCCTAAGTACCACAGCAAGGTGAAGCTGTTCGCAGTACCGCACGTCGTTGTGTTCGCCAACTTTCCGCCCGACCTTCGCGCCATGTCCGCCGACAGGTGGCGTCTGCGAAGAATCGGCATCGACGGTCACGAGTTGGAATAATCGCGACAGACAAGCATGAGATAATTCATTTTCCCACTATAAAAAAAAAACGATTTCAGTTTCTTACTTCATTTCTCCGTTCGATCTTCGTGTCATAGGAACAATCGAAGGACATGATGGAATTCGAGGCTCCAGCAGATAAAATCTATTCTGCTAAATTTGAGGACTCAACGAGTAACAAAGAGGTGAAACGAAGGAAGGCAAGCGAAGATAAGAAAATAAAACGTATCCAGAAAATAAGGCAGAAGAGGCTGCTTAAACGAAAGGAGAAGCGAATTCGCCAACATTCCCTCATCTTTTCTTTCCACGGTTTCACCGTGAAAAATATCACGATAGATCTTGAGAACAACGAAGGTACGAAAAAAAGCGAGAGCGTTCAGGCTTCCGATTGTCTCCCCGAAACCCTTTCGAACTTGCTGAGGACTGTTGGAAACTGCCGAGAATTGGAGATTCAGAGAAACGGACACGAACGGTGCGCGTTGAGGCCGTGGCAGGAGAGCTTGAAAGAGGTGTTGGCCGGGCCTGCTCACGACCGAAAAATATACTGGGTTGTCGATGAATATGGCGGAACCGGGAAGACTTTCTTCGCACAATACGTACGAGCAGTCATGAACGGCCGTATACATAACAGTTCAAGTTACCGGCTTTTCGCACGAGTCTTTCGCAAGCATCGCAATGAAACTGGGATCGTCGTGTTTGATCTTTCCCGCAAACAATTGAACGGCTCTTACAAGTTGATTAACGATCTGAAGGATCGTTCGATAAATTTCAGAGGAGAAAATTATCTTATCGATCCGGTGCACGTTTTGGTATTGGCCAGGTTCGAGCCCAACATGAAGAGAATGGATAACGATCGTTTGGACGTACGTCGCATCGACCAAAACGGACAATTCGTTTGTATTAGAGAAGTGTAAAAGTTTAGTTAGCAAATAAATAAGACAACATAATATGTTAAATAAATAAAAGACGAAGGAAAATAAATATTTTGTTTTCTTTTTGCTTATTTTTTATGTCTCCTGTGACTCCCTTTTGCAAACGGTGCCCGGTTGCCGCAACTATGGTCGGCGCCGGTTCCGCTTTCCATTAAAAATAAAAAAAGGAAAAAAGATTTAAATGGTTGTCTTCAGTTTTTATTGTGTTTTTTTTTTATCTCTTTTTCTATTTCATTTTGATATGATGACATAAATATATATTAGGGGTGCCTACTTGCATCCAAATAAATGAGCCGTGGTACAGACCTTCAGTCAGGTGTACACGTCGACAACGACCACGGACGGAGACCGACTACGACGGCAAAGAAATCGATCGACCGAGACTGCGAACGAACGACAGAACGACGTACGACACATGTTCTCGTTGGCAATGCGACCCGAACGCTTTTCGAAGATTTCGACTATTCTGGACTTAGAAAATATTTCGTCTTTTCTGGAATTAGAATATTTTTCGAGATTTCTGGACTTAGAAAAAAATTTTCGAAAAGCTTCGACTTTTCTGTGCGCGGACGTCGAGTAGACGGACGTCGAGTACACGGACTAATGTCGAGTACACACTCGCGTCCGCGACCTGCCGACCGATCTCGAGTACGCGGACGTCGAGTACACGGACTAATGTCGAGTACACACTCGCGTCCGCGACCTGCCGACCGATCTCGAGTACGCGGACGTCGAGTAGACGGACGTCGAGTACACGAACTAATGTCGAGTACACACTCGCGTCCGCGACATGCCGACCGATCTCGAGTACGCGGACGTCGAGTAGACGGACGTGGATAGACGGACGTGGAGTACACGGACGAATGCCAAGTACACCGACGTGTCCTCGACTCGACTACCGCCGTCGTGTACGCCGTTAAGGCAGACAAGACGAGTCTTTAATTTCAACTTTGGAAAAATTTTCTGAAACTGGAAAAAATTTGTGTCCCCTACTCGCCGACCGACGTCAAGTACACACTCGCGTCCGCGTCCTGCCGACCGACATCGAGTACGCGGACGTCGAGTACACGGACTAATGTCGAGTACACACTCGCGTCCGCGACATGCCGACCGATCTCGAGTACGCGGACGTCGAGTAGACGAAA